TGGACCGATTCACCTCAAAATTGTTTTAAATAAAAACTCTTAGCCGCTAAATGTGCCACTACTCCTCGGTTTTTCGATCTGCGTGACCGACGTTACAAAATTTACTTCGAATTGTTAACGAAATATGTTCGTCTCTGCGACCGCTAAGAGTTTGTCCTCCTTCAATCTTGGCAACTATTGGACCAATTTACCTCGAATTTTTACTACTGAAAGCTCTTAGTCTTTAAATGTACCAACATTCCTCGGTTTTTCCATCTGCATGACCGACGTTGCAAAATTTACCTGGAATTGATGGGCACTTATTTCGATTTTGCCACTTGGCAATTTGTCCTCCTTCGATATCAACCACTATTCGACCGATTTACCTCGGATTTGCTTTAGACGAAAGCTCTTGGGATCTGAATGAGCCATAACTCTTAAGTTATTCAATTTTCATGATCTTCGTTTCAAAATCTCCCTCGGATCGAAAACGACATATTTTCGCCTTTTTGATATTTTTCAAAAAGTGTATATATTCTAGTAGTCAATTACAAAAATTTTTAAAAAAAAAATTCTCGGGACTGAGGACATGGGTCTTAAAAACAAACTGTGGCAAAAACTCTTACGATCAGCGACATGTTTTCTTATTTTTCCTTCAAATCACCTGTTTTAGAGGAGTAGGTATGTCTTCATATTGATCGTTTATTGAATCGGAACATTTTTTTCACCCACTTAAAAAAAAAAGTCTAATCGCAAAAATAATTTTGACCAAATATATGGAGTATTAAGAAAGCTGCGGCCAAAACTTTTGCGATTAGCGCCCTTTTTTCTCATTTTTCTAATACACCGTTGCTTTCAGAAGAAAATATTCTAAAATATCTTTAAAGAAGTGTCAAAGGAGGGGTTGCGACTTGGGCCGAAATCGGCCACTCCACGGAATTGAGAAATTTTTGGATATACGGCAGTTGACGGTGCATATTTGACAGAAATAATCGAGTTTTGCCGATACCTACTCACGTTTTTTGGCTGCGAAACAGGGGCCTAAACGTGGCACCGAAGGCGAAAATAGCTGAAATTTCGCGTTTTTCGCGGTTCTACCTCAGATTTCGACCTGGGCTCAAAGGAGACGAATGATGAGCTTCGAATACGGTGTCAAGGACACCTAGACACGTAACATACTTGAATATGATCAACCGTCGCTTCTGGGCCCAATTCAAAATCGAACTTTTCCAACTTTTTAGCTTCCAACTTTTTCACCGTTTCTGCCAGGCGTATTTCGCGGATAACGCCAAGCAGCGGACTCGAGGAGCTTTTCCGACCGGTAAATCGCACTTAGCGGGTCATTTTCAAGCGAACATGCTTGGTTTCAGCTCGTTTGGCGAACTTTCGATTTTGACCCTTAAAAGCTATCGATTTTAGGGAAAAATTATAAAAAAAATTTGTGGTGTGAAGAAAACTGCGGGAAAAATTTCTACGATGAGCGCCTTGCTTATCCTTTTTCTTCTAAACCATTGATTAAAGAGGAAAATGTCTAAAAATCTCCTTAAAGAGCGGAAAATTTGGTAGTGACCACTTACGGAAAAATCTAATTAAAAATATTCTTGTAACCAAAATTGCAGGACTTAAAAAGAGCGGCGACAAAATTGTTATCATCAACGAACTTTCTGATCATTCTACTTTGAAACCGTTAATTTTAGGGGAGAATGTCAAGTGATTTTTTTATTGATCTGGAAATTTTGTTGTAGTTACTTACAAAAAAAAAAAGGAAGTATGTAAGGTTGTCTATAAAAAAGCGGGCTCGACGCAAAATCAAAGGCCGTGGCGCGGCAGCGTTAGATATTGCATGGATATTTGCACATGGAGTGATATTTTCGGATATTTTCATACCCACATCGAAGGATAGAGCTCCATGAAAAACTTTAAAGATCTCACAAAGAAGAAAGACCCTACCTCGTGGACCGGGATCCGCCGATCAGAATCGAATCGCTTCCGACCGCAGCGCTCTTTGGACCCTTAGTAAAGGTCAAATTAATTGAAGGAGGACAATCTCTTAGCGATCGGAGAGACGAACATATTTCGTTAACAATTCGAGGTAAATTTTGCAACGTCGCTTCGCAAATCGAAAAACCGAGGGGTGTTGGTACATTTAGGGACCTAGAGCTTTCATTTGCAAAAATCCGAGGTAAATCGGTCCAATAGTTGCCGGGATTGAAGCAGGATAAACGGTCTGGCGGCAAAGACGAAAGTATTTTGTTACTAATTCGAGGTAAATTTTGCAACGTCGGTTTCGCAAATCAAAAAACCGAGGGGTGTTGGTGCATTTAGAGACCTACAGCTTTCATTTGCAAGAATCCGAGGTAAATCGGTCTAATAGTTGCCGAGATTGAAGGAGGATAAACGGTCTGGCGGCAAAGACGAAAGTATTTTGTTACCAATTCGAGGTAAATTTTGCAACGTCGGTTGCGCAAATTGAAAAAACCGAGGGGTGTTGCTACATTTAGAGACTAAGAGCTTGATGTTAAAAAGCCTACACTAAAACTGTGCACTCGGAGTCTTCCGACGCGCCTCATTTACATGTTTGTGAGTTTTTCAATTTTCAAAAATGTTAAGCTCTTAGCCCCCCCCCCCTCCAATTAGGCATACTGGAGTTCAAAATTTTCAGTAACCATTTTAGCCACGTTAAAGCCGTTGTTTGGCTGAATTTTTTGACATGTCACACTTATGTAGTAGGGTTAGCTGTGATTTCTCAAAATTTTGGGGCATCAAACCGCTCGGGGGCAGTCAATTTTGAAAATCATTTGTAACCATCTTACCTGTGCAACTACGTCCGGTACTTTGAGTCCTTGGACACGCCTCACTTACACGTTTTTGAATTTTTCGATTTTCAAAAATACTGAGCCCTTAGCCCGCCCCCCCCCCTCCCATTAGGGACACTTGAGTTCAAAATTTTCAGTATGCACTTTGGCCACGTTGGAGCCGTCGTTGGGAGGAATTTTTAGACATGTCACACTTATATAGTAGGTTTAGCTATGCCTTTTCAAAATTTTTAGCTTTTAGGCCCCTCGGGGTTAATTAATTTCAAAAATAATGTGTAACCTCGTAAACTACTGGAAATCGCTCGGAACTATAAGTTTTGTTTACATACCTCACATTAGCACTTCATTGTATTTCCAATTTCCAAAATTTTTAGATCTTACGGACCCCCCCCCCCCCCCCCCCCCNCACTTTGGGCCGATAAGGGCCGATGTAAGCATTTGAAAGAACTTGCGGGAATAGAATCACGTTACAAAAAATAAAAAAATAAATAAGTAAAAATAGATACATAAAAAAAAGAAATAAGTAAAAAAAATAAATAAGTAAAAAAAAAGAAATAAGTAAAAAAAATAAATAAGTAAAAAAATAGATAAGTAAAAAAAATAAAAAAAATAGATAAATAAAAAATAAATACCTACCTAAGTAAAAAAGAAAAAAATAAAAATAAATAAAAAATAAAATTTCCCACCACTAGAAAATATCGTACTTTAGTCTGCAGGCAATTCTAGGACAACTCTGGAACACTTTAAAATTACTATAGAGGGCACTGCAGTACAATCGGCCCCTGGGTGCAAGTTCTCCTACTCTGGGAAGCTGAATGGTGCAACTATTCCCCCATGGTGCAACGACTCCGTCATGGTGCAACGACGCTTACTCCGTATGCGCTCAAGTTGCAATAACTCTTACTTGAGGAAACTATATATATATATATATATATATATATATATATATGTGTGTGTGTGTGTGTGTGTGTGTGTGTGTGTGTGTGTGTGTGTGTGTGTGTGTGTGTGTGTGTGTGTGAGGGTGTGTGAGGGTGTGTGTGTGTAGAGAGAGATGGTGAAACTCCCAAACCACGTATCTCGGTTTACAACGTAGCAGTCTTCCTGTCATAGTATACTTTTCAAATAGAAAACTACTCAACGTCAATTCTTGAGAACTTCCGTGATTTTTCTTCACTGTACGAAGAAAAATCTGTGGAAACTTCCAAAAGTAGGTAATGTTGATTTGGTGTCCTTCAAAAAAATAAAATGGAAGCGGAGATTTTTAGACACCGCGAACGAGATACGTGGTGTGGTAGTTTTACCATCGATATTGCGATTTTATCGGCGATATAAGCGCCAGGATCATCAACATCTGAGCGATTATCCTCGATCTTAATGTGATAAAATCGCGCTTTTATCGCCCGACGATTTAATCTTGATTTTATCGACGAAAATTGATCGCACGATTTCATCGAACCAGAAATTGCGATTTGTAGAGATTTAATCGCCATGTACTGTAATTTTTAATACGATAATATCTCGATGTATTGCCACCGATATAATCACGATAACCAACCGATAAAACCGCTATTCATCGCGATCATTGCTTCTTGGGTGACCTTTTTCCTATTATGTGTTGTTCCTCACAACGTTCAAGCGGTCTCTCGCCCTAAGCACACAGATTCCATGGATGTGAGCCTCCATCACCCTCCTCTGTCAAACTGGGACTGATCGCATCATCTCTCCTATTTTTTTCGTACTTACAAAATATGATACGGTCCAACCTCTTCCTTCCTGTTCTTCATTACACATACATACGCTTCGTTTTCCATGATTCCATTTTGCTTAGTTCTCCAGCGGAGACATCATATAATTTAAGTATGGACTGTATTCGATACATCAAATAGGCGTTCTGTCCCTAAGGTTTTATCGATATCGACTAGTTCAACATGAAAAAGGAGCCTCAAAAGCCAACCGAGTAATCCGTGTTGGAACGGATTTTTGTGATTGATTTTTGATTGTTATTAATACTACATGGAAATGAACAGTGAAATTGTCAAGAATCTCGGCTTTTCTGACTTCAATCCTAAAATGTTTGTTTGAAGTAATTTTTTATTGTTTTGAACCAAACGATACATCAAACCACTATCGAATAAGATCCATTACGTGAATATCCGAATATATCATTTGATGAATGCATCCATCCATTCTTAGATTCATACGCACATATTCAACACTGTATCCTTGATTTTTCCAACAAATGCAGGCTACAAATGCGGCAGTGATGCTGACCAGTGGACCAGCTCCTGGATATCCTAGATGGTGAGCTCCAAGAACTGCAGTCAATCCTCCTGCGCCAACCAAAAAAGCCCGCCGCACGGTGAGAATTTGCTGTAGGTCAAAGAAGAAACATTTTGAGTGCCTTTTTTAAATTTTTATTTTTGGGAAAAAGGAGCTGTTCAGTCGAAAATGATTGCAAAAAATTTCGAAAGCAGGCATACCTAAATCGATGGTTAAACGCAAATGATGCAAATCTAATGTTTAAAATCTCCAATTGAGATTTGTTTTCTTCAAGAAAAACTTACCTACTAAAATGTTTCTTTGAACTTTAGTGTGCTTTTCTTCATTATGAGTGAAGAGGTGGTTCATGGATAATTTTAAGAGAAACTATTAGACAGTTTTCCTTTTTATTATGAAAGATGAGCGGAGACTTACAACTTCGCACTCTCAGATACACATTTTTCGACTTTCGCTATCGAAATACTACCTACACATTTAGCTATTGAATGATGTGGAGCTGCTAGGTATACATATCGACGGTGTACGTCCGCAACCACGTATCTCGATTTGCGACGTCGGAGACTCCCTGTCATACTTTATTTTTGAGAAACTACTCAACCGCAATTCTTCAGAAGTGCCGTGATTTTTCCTGTCAGTGCCTAGAAAATTCTGCGAAAATTACAAGGAATTATGTCGATTTGTTCTCCTTTAAGAAAATAAAATAGGAGTGGAGATTTTCAAACACTGCAAACGAGATACGTATGGTTGCGGACTTACGCCGCCGATAAGTTTATTTGGGAGTATGTTTTGATGTAGGTAGTTGTCATTAGTTTCGTTTCTCTTTACTTTTAGGCAGTAAGTGCTTATCGCCTTCACGATAGACATCAACATAGAGGATATTGTACCTCATTATCTAAGCTTCTGTGTTTCTATGCGTAGATACAGTGCTTTGCTACTCGCTCTCCATGCTCTGACATCCGCCTGAATCATATTTTCGCTACTCTTTCGACACAATTGTATCAAATTCACATATTCCTGTTATTTTAGCAACGTCGCAATTCGATTCGTATAGTCCTACACAAACTCACAGTACCTACTGTAACTACAGTTTCAATTCCATTCACATTTCACTGCACCATTTTAGAACAAGTTGTTTTAAAATGGTGCAGGTAAAACCCGCTTATATCGTCCTATGCCTATATCGGAAAGAGCTTGATGCAAAAACGGCTTCTTTCGCCCCCCCCCTCTGGAATTTCTTCAGACTTTGTCTATTGATTACTCGAACTTGAGCGCTTCTTTTCCCAAATTTTCAGACCTCCAAAAAATTTTGGGGGGGAGCCAGGGGGGGTGGAAGTCAAAACCTTTGAACCTCGATATCTCTTGAACAAAGAAAGATATCGAGATCCGGTTTGGACGAAAAATCGTCTAAAATTGCATACTTTAAGATTCTAAAGGTCGAAATCCCGATATCACATTTTTAAGTCAACATATGTGCTTTTTTCCAGTTTTTAGGTCTAGAAAATTTCTTTTAAACGAAAAATTTACAAAGATCTCAATTTTTTATTTGAACCAAAACCAGTTTTTTAAATTGTTCGT